ATGGTTCAAATTTTTGAAAATACAATCATAATTCCTTTTATATCTTTACCTATTTTTATGTCCATCTAGCTTTTTATTTTCTATTTATCAACCTATTATATCATTGATATATTCATATAAATTCATACATTCATGTATATATCTATATATCTATATAAATGCATACATCCTGTATATATCTATCTATCTATATATTTGAGTCCAAATGGCTAAACCCAATTCTCGTAGATTGGTTGAATTCAACGCCTTGATAAACCTAAGCTTAAAGTCAAACCATTCAAACAATCTTATTTTGGAGGGGAGGGAACGAATCGAAGATATACAGACTCATTTTACTAATTTGCATTGTTCCTCTTAATAACAGTTTTCGCAATAAAAAAAAGAAATGGATAAAAGTGTCCAGAACTATAACAAGGTGCATAGGGGTGATGAAAAAAATCAATACTTTTTAAGATGCTAAGAACGTATCTCCTGAAGGGGGAAGTGTGACAATATAGCAAAAATATCAGAATATCAAATGCTAAACAGTCTAAATATATGCCTGGTATAAATATATTGTTATACAAGAATATTTATCTTCCTTTGTCTTCTTAATAAACCCTGAAGCATTTAATCATGATTATACAGTATACAGGGTGTTTCGGTAAACATGAAATTTAATGCTTGTTTTAATTTTTGATAATAATCTAATGACACAATTTATAGTTTCTTTAGTCTGTTTGTAACTGTACAACTTGCCTTGTTGCCTTAAAGTCGGTCCGATACTTCAAAATGAAAAAGTGTGTATTAAAAAAGGTTGCACGATTGTACCCTAAAAAGGGTCAACGTTACAAAAATACTTTTCAGTTTTGCAATTTTTTTCTATCCACTTCAATTTGTCAATTTTTGTGGTGTCTCTCGATTGTGAGGTTTAGTGGAACACCCTGTACTTTATAACGGATTCTGGGGATATCAAGGAATTTAAATTGCCTCAAACTTTGAATTATATTAACAATAAACATGGGAAATAATTCAAACTCGTCTTTATCAAGAATCAGCCTTGCAATTTCCAATTTCAAAAGTCGTAATATAATTATGTCTGCATGAGTTTAATTTAAGCAAACATCAGAAGGTTGTATGTTGTGTCTGTAATGACTCTGAAAGATAAATATTGAAGACGGACAAGTTTGATTTGTTTGTAAACAAGAATTTTCTTATTTTACAGAAAAGGCAGAGTGGGATTCATGTTGTGTTCAATGCCCCGGAAAATTCCAAAACAGAGAGAGGGGGATTGAATTTGTAGATCCAGAAAAATTATATCTGTGGGATGGCTGCGTAGAGACTGGCAGCTGGGGGGGTCTTAAATGTAAGACATGTGGCCGCAGCGCTCGGCCCCCTAGCCTGTCCTAGCCGTAGCGCTCGGCCCATGAAATTAACCTAACCTAACCCTAAATAAATACTAATTTAATTATTTTTCTGGATCTACAAAATTCAATCCCCCTCTCTCTGTTTTGGAATTTTCCGGGGCATTGAACACAACATGAATCCCGCTTCCCCAACCGAAAACGACAGTGCTGAGTGCGTTTGCAATAGAAATCAAAACATAAAAAAACAAAATGTTATACTCTAGCAGACGAAAATCCTTCGTATTGCAAAGTTTTCAAAAGATATCACTATACCAGCTCAAACATCTTTTAAAAAACCATCTTAAAATCTTAAAATCAATTTCCATATAAATTGGAACACCCTGTGCATTGGGTCGAAACCACAAAACTTAAATTTGAAGAATAAAACTTAAAAGACAGCTGTGGATTTTTTTGTCAGAGCAAAATTAGAGATTGGTGAAAATTAACAAAAATAATTCAGAACATTTGGTAATACAAGTTAAATATTTAAAGAATAAAAGACAGCTGCGGATTTGGTCATACAAATGGTAGTATTAGAAGAAAATTTCTTTCTCATGAGAAAGATTTCTACGAATGATCTGACTACTCTCCTCACACTCTAATTTTATAATCCTTAAATCTTTGCAACCTGATGACGAATTATTTGGTTAGATTAATTAGTTAAAGTTTGAAATATAAGCTGGTAAAATTAGAGTTTAAGGGACTAAATAAAGTATTAATTTCCTTTCTGCAAAAACATGCTGCCCCCCTGCCGCCAAACCTCTCCCACCACCTCTTTAAATAATATCAATATCCCCCCTCACTAAATTCCCTCCCTCTCCCCTCACTATATCCCCTGCCTCCCTATAAACCTATAAACCTATAAACCTAAAACAAGAAAGTTTAACCCTATTCCTGCTGGGGGGGGGGGGTCATTTTGCCCCCCCCTTGTAGTTTTTTTTTACATAACTCAAAAAGTATTAGTCTGAGGCTGTTGAAATTTTCTGACTTTTCTTACATACCCAAAGCCCTCCCTTTAGGCCTAAAACCGGGCTGTAATACTAACTGCCTGAGTCCTCATGCACACTGCCTGAATGACTGCTTTTGCTAGTAACAAACTAAATCTTTGTTTTGACCCACTTTCACTTGTCAGATTTTGATAAAATTTAGCTTTTTTGGAAAGCCTATGACATAAGGAAACGGATTACGCAAGTTTTGCGAAAAAAATTGCAAATTTTTTGCAAACAACCTGTCAAAGGAAATTTGCACATTTTTAGTTTTTCTTGATTAAAAATCAGGTTATTTAAAATTTTGCAAAAATTTTTGCATATTTGAAATGGCATGGTCAAGGGCTTTTCAAAAATGTATAATTTTTCTTTTTTTGGACAAATTTTTTTTGCAAACATTTTTACTATAAAACTGGATTTTGCGATAAAAAATTCAATTTTCGCAAATTTGCAATTTTTTTTGCAGATTCTAAAAGTAGAGCACAAGAGCTTTCTAATGATGTATCATTTGTCATATTTGGACATAAAACATGGGATTTAGAGGGGGGGGGGGTCAAATTGACCCCCCCCAGCGTATCCTGGTTTTCATGTACCCCAGCTGGGATAGGGTTAAAGATGAAAAGCGAAAATCTTATGTTAAATTGGTCAAACTGTGATGGAACGTACTGACAGCTTGCTGGGATACGGGCCGAACTGTAATATCAGTGTGCTCGGGCCTGTTTTAATCATATCTATAATCTGATGCATATTTTGTGTCGGTTAGTCATTGAAATTAAGTAGAACTCTTGTTATGTGTTATAATGTTCTGCACGAATTCAAAAGTTCACGCTAGAAAACCCCAAATAAGATAAAGCAGGAGCTCTCTCAACAAAACTCAAGCAAAATACAGGAGGAACTCTCTATTACAAATCCTAAGCAAGAAACAGCAGTAACTCTCAAAATAAAAACCCAAACAAGCTACAGGAGGAACTCTCTAAACCAAACCCAAACAAGATACATAAGAAACTCTCTAAACCCAACTAAACCAATATACAGCAGGAACTCTCTAAACCAAACCAAAACAAGATACAGCCGTAACTCTCTAAATCAACTCAAACAAGATACAGCAGGAAATCTCTAAACCAAACAAAAATAAGATACAGCAGAAACTCTCTAAAACAACTCAAACAAGATACAGCAGGAAGTCTCTAAACCAAACCAAAACAAGATACAGCAAAAACTCTCTAAACCAACTCAAACAAGATACAGCAGAAGCTAGGGTTTCCACCGGAATTCTGGGTTACTGTTTACATCAGGAAATTATCCGGAAATTATTTCCATTTCCAATATGGAAAAGGTTCCGGAAATTCGGAATTCCGAAACTATTTTTTCCCCTTAAACCGGAAAATTCCGGAACGTTGATCTGTAATTACGGAATGGAATGTTATGGAATATTGTTCCGGAAAATTCTGATTCCCATCAAGGTTGTAAAGCAAGGTTAGATACTCTAGCTGTATGAACTCCAATGTAAAGATTATGATGTTTTGAAAGTAATGGAAATGTAAGTAACGTCATTGATTATTCTAAAGATAAATATTGCACAAATCATAGAGAAGGGAAACAAAGAGGTCAAGCTTACTTCAGATGTACGCAACCGACCTTCCTTTTAATTAATTAATATAGTGCTCGGTTGTGTACATCACAATATTTACGTATCTAACACTGTACACTTGTATATAGAGAGATTGTATTTCGAATAGCTATAAAAAAATAAATCAATAATGATCAGAGTCTAAAACTAAAGAATGCGCGAATTTTAAGTTTGAGGTTAAAAGTTCTTAAAATAATGAGTAGTTACTTAAATATTTAACTTTCTCAATTCTAAATTTGAATTTCCCGGGAAAAATCTAAACCAATCAGAGAAAAGGATTTCCGGAGAATATTACATAACCATGGCTAATCAGCTGTTAGTACGTAACCGAAAACAAAACTGTTTTTTGGATTTACACGCAAAAATTAATTTATCTAAAACGTGAAATTTCTTTAACAAGGTTTTCACTTTCAAATATATGGTAAAATTGAATGCCGCTTTCTCAGCTGAATGATGATTGAATAATAGACAAACAGGGAAAATGCAGGATTTCAAGATTTTAACCCTGTGTTTAACCTCATGGTTAAAGTTCAGGGATAAATTAAGTCAGAAGTGGCATTTAACCATGAACTTAAAATTTAAGTCAAAACTTTTTCTTCTTTAGTTTTAGACTCAGATCTGAATTGAAATCGCAATTAAAACCAATTTTTAAAACACTATAATATTCTTTGAGTGCATCAAGCACAACTTTTTTCATTCACTATTAATTATTGATTTAGATTCCCAAATTTGTAGGTTTTCAATTTATTAGGTAAAAGTTCTGTCTAAAATCCTTGACTGAAATATTCAATTCTGTGTTTACAATCCTTATTATGTGTCTATCTAATTTTCTATACAAATTTGTATAATGTACTTCCCTTCCGTTTTCCTGAACTAGAACCATGAGGTTTTGCAAAAGTTCTCACTTGCTTTTGAAAAAAGGAAACTGTTAATCGCAATAGATTTTATAATTTTAATTTATAAAAAAATTTACAGTTTTTGCCATTATTTAACAGACTCTTCCGTTAGTTAAAAAAAACCTGTTTCATTTTCTCCCTTAGTCAAGATTTATCGTGTATTTTCATAAATTCAAAATATACAGAATTTGTGCATAAAGATTGGATATAGGATGCTTTGATGAATAACATTAAAAATTTGAAGAATAAAAGTTTTTCAAGTAATATTTATGAATTAAATTTGTCTGCAAAAAGTAAGACACTTTTTGTAACAAAATTTAAAATATCCAGAAAGCAGAATCCGAAGAGTATTCCAATCCACCCTCCAAACTCTGCAGTAAACTCCCAGAATGTGTAGATGAACTCACTCGTCAGAACCTGGATATTCCTGGGCTTCCTGATTATCAGATACTTATTTCTAGATTTCTAGAAGAAAAAATACAATACTTCTTTTCATAAAAAAGTGTCTTTTAATGTGTTATTAAATTAAAAGAAACAAACCGGGTTTTCATTGTAGAGCAGTTCAACATTCAGAATAGTTTTTCTGCAGGGTTGTAAACATTTACTTAGACCAAGCTTAAAGCTGTTAGATAGCTTTGACAATTCAATTTTATATGCTTCTATAATAGCAGACAAATATACATGTTATATATATATTTAGTTAGTGACATAACTTTGTTCAGTTAAATGGGTAAATTGTAAACATCAAAATTCTACTTTTAAAAGTAAACTTGGTGAGATATAAATATTTCGACCTGTTAAATTTATTTTCTATATTTTATAGTGACCATTTGACTCAACTTTTTAATATTCTAATCAAAATGTACTGCTAAAATTCCTGATAGTGATTCACATTTTTCAAATTTATTTCCTGGATTCCTAAACATAAATACATGATACAGGTTGAGTCTTTCATATTGATAAGAAATGTGTTGTTCAGAATCTTTCATTTCAGTATATAATTGTTGACTTGTAAAGTCACTATAATAAAATAAAGAGATCTAAAATGGATATTTCTAACATTTATTTATAAAACGAGTGTTTTGAAATATTTGCATTTAAGGCGGAGTTAAAATTGGTTGATTTAGAAATTAACAAAGGAATTATGGATGGATATTTGATGGTACATCATGGGAGGGATGTAAAGCTTCATGTTGGTGGAGCAGATCAACAGGAACTGGGGCAACAGGGCTTATCCAACCTAGTAGGCAGAGATCGCGGCTTTATCATGCTGGATTTGAGCGATTATGTTGTCTCTGGAAGTGGAGTGCGTGATAAACTGGGAACCCTCGGGTAAGCCTGTCTGCTGCTAATTGAGTATCTGCGTCATCATCATAAAGGAGTCAAGAGGCTCCCTGTGTCGGAGCTGTTACTAGTTCAACTGTCCTAACATGACTGAATACCGGGAGCTGGGATGAGCGGAGATTCGACATGTGGGCACTACATGAGGAGGAAATGGATCTTGAGTACACATACATCTAGAGAAAAGGCTACGGCAATTTGAGTCGGAAAAATCGTCTTCCTTATATTTCGAATTAATTTTAACAATAATAGTTATTTGAATAAATATCTGTTTTATTTTTTTCTATTTGTAGTGGATTATATATACATATATGCTCTTGAAAAAGATAACTGTGCAGTTTGGCTCAATATAACACTCATTGTTAGAAATAGGCTAAACCGCAGTATGTATTGTGAAATTAGGGGTTCACATTATGTTTTGAACAAAAATGGTGTTAAAAAATGCAACAAACATTGCGCCAAAAAATTGCCCAAATTGCTAGGGGAAAAACTGAACATAGGATATCAACATTATAAAGTCATAAACATTTAGTTGTGGACAAGATTATTAAAAAAATGGGGTCTAGAAAGACTGAACTTTTCACAACTTTTATTTATAACAAAAAGTAAAGTTTCATAACACTTGTCAATCACAGGTATTTAAATTATTATGATATTGATGTTAATACTCAACTATCCACCGGTTTAAAATTAACCTTCTTTTTAAAATAAAAATAGGATGAGGATAATGGATAAGAAATTATTAATATAATATAAAAGACCTCTAATACTGGATGGAAACTAGGAAACTAGGAAACTAAGCGGAGTTTTCCACATATAAAGTAAAATGTTTTATTGCGAAATTTTTTTGTAGTGTTTGCGCAGAAGTTGCCTGGATTTTTTGCACAGTTTTTGCAAAATAAATTTTTGCCCAAAAATTCACAAAAGTTTGCAGAGAATGCATACAAATTTGCAAAAAAAGTTTGCTTCAACTGGAAATCCCATGTGGAACTAGTGTCCTATAAATCAAAAACTACAAACATTTAACATAATTCAAAGTTTGATTTATCTACAACACTCCTAGGGTTTCCACGAAACTGTCAATATCTTGTGCAACAGTTGCGTGATTTTCCACAAAATGACTTTTTTGCACACAATTCCGTATCATTTTCGTATCAATACAAAACCAGCTTTGCACAAAATTGTGCATTCATTTGAAATGAAATTTTTTTTTGCATGAAATTTTGCATGAATACAAAATTTAAGTCAGAATTTTTTATTGATTTACGCAAGAATACAGATCAACAGATCATTTTTGCAAATATTTGTTGCATGCCATATAGTGCATAAATATAAAAGATTTTAATATTTGGACAGTATGGTGTGAATTAGTTTCAGTAAAAAACAACTTCCATCTAACCCTGCTCATCTTCAAGTTCAGACCGAAGTGAATGTGATTATGATTAATTAATTCGTGACTAACTCAGTTACTACTTGAGATTGATTGTCGGTAAATGGTATATAATGGTCGGTACGGTCCAGTAAACCTAAAACCCGGAAATTGGGGCTCATTTGGCCAGCATGTGGGAGCAGGCTGGAGAAGCTGGAGTATAACTCTGATTGGTGTAATTTTGAATTTATTCATCATTTCCTGGAATTGTTTCTTGAAATTTAACGAAATAACAAAATAGCTCGAAATAACGAAATAGCTTTTGCACATCAATGCGCAAAAAATCAAAATTTCATGCAATCTTTAGTCGAAACGTAAGCAAATCGTTGTGAAATTTTTGGCATGATTTTTGTGCAAAAAATTTCAACTGGAAACCCTGAACACACCAGCAGGACGTAAAGATATAATATGGCGATAAAAAATTTAAAGTTGGTGGGAGTGTATGTAGAAATACTGCCTTTTCATTAAATCTTTGTCAAATCCATGCAGGTAGCACTTTTACTTCATAAGCTCTTGGGTTTCAAACAACCAGCTAATAATGAACTTAAAGCTAATAATGGACTTAAAAGTGTTTACAAATAAATTAGGACACTTAATTGACTTAAATCTTCAAAAATTTAAGGGCTAAACTCCTTAAAATCAAAACTAAAATGATTTGATGTTTAAAAATAACCCTAGAGACGACAGTTTCTAAAATCTTTAAAACTTCTTATTCTTACTTCATATTATAGTAGATGCATCCAAATGTATTGTTAAACTCTTGTGATATATAATCATCTCTGCATGAATCATATTCGATTTTATTCGAGCAAACGTTGTCTTCTTCAATACTTTGAATCTGTTTAGCATTCAAAAGAAAAATTTTGTTCTCATTCTGCAGCCCTAGTCCTGTAAGCTTTAAAGAAGTGTCACCAGTAATAAAGCTGGGATCATGAATAAATATAGCATCTAGGTAAAGAAAGCTATGATCAATTTTAATCTCTTCTCCAGTAAATTCCAGTGTTTTACATACATAAACATATGATAAGTGCTCTTCCCACATAAACATCTTAGACATAGTATTTGTATAATCAATCCATTTAGTATCTGCTTTACCTCTTTGGAATATTGAGCCAAATCTTCGAATTGTTGTAATATTGTTTGTAGGCCAAGACACCCTTGGATTACAGAGTGATATTGAAATATTAAGATTAGGATCTGCTTCCATGTATTCTACTTTACTTCCTGTCAGGTTACTCTGCAGCTTCTGCGTTGAGAGTGTAAGCTGGTAAAGAATAGCAGCAGATATTCCAATAACAATACACAAGAATATCTTGAATCCAAAATTTTGTCCAAGTTTTTCCCTAATCATATATGCAAAACCAAGGACACTAAAAACAAGATTTATATTTTATAGAAAACATTACTAGGTATGTAAGTACCTGTATCCTAGTAGTAACCCTGTCCATCCTCCTACTTCTCCAATAAGAGAAATTATATCATAAGATGAAAAAACCTAACAAAAAAATCATTTCTTTAAGTTGGAAAACATTTGTAAGTTGAATTCAGTTAGTAAAACTGCAAGAATACATGTAAAGTGTAATTTTAATTTACCTCTTTTACCAGTGTTGAGATTGGAAATTCAAGACCATATTCAAAAAGGTCATCATAGCCAATAAAACTTGATCTTTTCATTGAGTCCAGACTTGTAAGGGTATAGGTAGTCTGAATCTTCATATTAGGGTCATTGCATTTACCATTTTTTATCATATACTCAAACTGATTTGAAAGATCTTTAAATAAAGATTCATTAATGACTTTACTAATCTTCTTATTTTCCTTTGATATCAAAAAATCTTTTATGTCATGATCATGATAGTTCTTTGATATTTTGTCTAGAATACAGTCATCATAAGAGTAATATTCATCATATCCATCTTCCAAAATCCTTTTTTGATTCAAAACATCAAGTTGAAACACATATGATGAATAAAAAACATATCCAGTTTTTGCACTAAAATACCAAGTATTAGTAAAATATTAGTCTTTTCATTCATTTCAAATTTTCAGTTTGAAAAATTTATTAAGTTTCATTTGTCATGATACTTTTGCCAAAGTTTTCTAAAAAATGGACATTGTTGGGTTTTAATTGCAAAAATTTGGTGTTGTAGGTTTTTTTTTTATTAATCTGTCAGAGGTTGTCATCTAGCAGCACATTCCTTTATCAATGCTTCAATCGTAAGGGCTGTTTAGGTCTGAGAAATGGTAAAGTGCAGGAATTCTTCTGATTTACTGGAATGAGTTCTAGATACCTTTCAGACAGGAAACATCGCACCTTTTGCTTCCAATCAGTTGTAAGCCCAGATTGGATACTCCCAGGTGGAGTAAAGAGTGTTATTTGGATATAGTTAAGAAATTGCTGAATTTGGTTATACCTATCTTTCAACCCTAACATCATTGCAAGTAGAGCTAGTTGTAAACCTAATCAAAATTACTTCTTAATAAAATACCATTATCAGGTATGTAAATCTTTAGTGGCAAAATTTTTTTTCCATCAGTGTAACATTTACAAGACATTAAAGAACAAATATGCATAATAATGCATTTTTGAAATTTTGAGCTAAGAAATGAATTTCAAGAGCTAAGCTTTGTAGGGTTTATTGAATGTTTAAAAAATTTTCTTTCCCCAAGTAGTTGCTCCATATAGATCTTTAGTAGCTCCTAAAGTGTAATTGTTTTAAGTATTGTGTTATAAAAGTTATGCTTACTACAAAACTATTAAAATATTTCCGTAAATTGCATTATTTGGTTATACATGAAATTACGTAATTTGGTTTTAATTTTACATTACTATAAAACATTACAAAGGTTGAATTAAAACATCTAATATGGGATTTTCCAACCAAAAATGTTGGGTTTAGTATGACCAAATATTCTGTTGTGAACAAGCTATGGGAAGCCACTGAAAAGGTTTTCAGGGATGACAATATATGTGCAAAGTCCTTTGTAAAAACTGGATTGTTTTCTTGGAATAAATGCTCCCAATAAACTCAAGCTGATGCCAGGAATTGTGTTGAAGAAAACTCAACACCTGATCACTGATCAGTTTGATGATACCGGTATCATCAAGCTGATCAGCAATTTTTTAAACAATTATTGGTGCTAAGGATGAGTAATATTAAAATCAAATTATCTATATTTTTTCAAAAGTTCAGTCTTGTCAGATTTGGATGTTAATTTTTGTTTGTGTTTTTTTAAAAGAGAAATGATCCAAACATTTTTTGTTAGGAATAACCTTACGAAAAATAGTGTTGTTATTCACATTTTGGCTGTACCAGCTTAAACAAATGTAGAATGTCACAATTTACAACCAACCTAAGTGAAATAGATGACCAAATACAGCAAATTGATATGCTTTAAAGCATTCTGTTTATCTGGAGCAATGATAAATCATTTTAATTGTTTTCTTCAGTTTCTACTCGCTTAAACTTTCCTATATAGGGTGATTGCAACTAGGGTTTCCATTTTTCCGGAAAAAAATTTCCATTTTGGAAATGGAATGATCCGGAAATTGGTTGCGTAAACCGGAATTCCGGGATAATTCCGGTATAAATGAAAACCAGAAATTTTCCGGTTTACGTTTCGTACACCGGAAAAATTTCCGGTTTCCATTCCGTAAACCGGAAATTTTTACATGTTCCGGAAACCGGAAATTTCCTGAACGATTTTCGGGAAAATTTTCGGAACGATATTCTGGAACGTTCCGGAAATTTCCGGAATTCCGTAACGATCCGTAATTCCGGAACAATGTTCCGGAAATTACCGTTTTACGGGAAAAAAATCAATCCGGAAATCGTTCCGGAATTCCGGTTTTTCAGAACCTTTTCCATAATGGAAATGGAAAAAATTTCCGGATCATTTCCGTACGTAAACCGTAACCCGGAATTCCGGTGGAAACCCTAATTGCAACCATTGTTATTTCTCAAATTCTCTTGGATAAAACTCTACTTCTTTTAGGGTCTCTCCTCAATAGTAACAGTACTCTGGAAAATGACAAACAAGTTCAATCTGGAAAAGATTGCCCATATTGGTTTTATTTTATAAAAAAATGAATATATACACATACAAAATTGAATAATATACAAAGTTTGTTACAAGAATAAAAACATTTTGAAGCTCTTGATAAGAAAAATGAAAAAAGAAAAACCTTTAATATCTCAAAACTCAGTTTAATTTAAACAATCCATGGATACAATGTGAAGACACAGAAAAAAGCTCATTGTTCAGGTAAAAAAGTATATAGATAGCTTATTAGTACTTTATTGTGCTGTATACAGATAAAAAATATCTCTCAGTTTCAAAATATCAAGTATAACTGAAGAGGAATGGGTATACAATAAAAATCTAAGGTAAAGTTTACAAATCAAAACTGGTTTCGGTGCTCTACTACAGACTTGAACTCCCTCCGGACCTTCAGGAATTTCACAACTTTTGCATAAAGAACTCAGGGGCGAGGGAATTCAGAACAGGACGAAACCGTCATGTAACAGTTTCTTACTCAAATATCTTCAAACTTTAGAATGTATGTTTTTTCAAACAATTTAAGTTAATTATGGGTAACCTAAAAACTAAACCAAAGTCTAATCTTACAGATTCACTGGGACCTATTATAAATTTTATAATTCTACATACTATAAACGCTTAGGTGAGTCTTTAGCTCCTACATCCATAGGGTTCCCATACAACTGATCTTACTATTGTCAGATGTTTTCATGGTAACCTGGAAGTAGGAGTAATCTCATTGTTTGTAAACAAAGACCTGAATATGTTAATGCAAAATAGGGTTGGTACAACTTTTATATATGCAGAATAAATACTATCCATTGTCCTGAAAAAGTAAATCTCACTCAACAGAAGTAGAGAAATCTGACTATATTTTCTGATAAAGTGTAATTTATGGCCAGTTAACTTATGGCAAGTGTAACTTATGGCAAGGGTAATTTATGGCAAAAGTATTTATGGCAATTGTATCATGGTAAATGAAACTGAGCCAGATGAAAATTTAATTTTTATATGTTTGGAAACCTTGCTGCAAATGCAAAGGAATTCAGTCCTTGTCACAAACTCTGATTTTCTAATCCCTATATCTTTTCAACCCAATTTTGCAGACCATAGATATTTCAAACTATGAACTCTAATAGATCAAATAATCTAAGTATAAAATATCAAAGATTTGCACCATTTTTTTGCAAAGATATAAGGTTTAGAGTATGTGGCAAAGACTCAATTACTTTGATGAATAATTAATAAATTGACATGAAATCATATTGCATATTTTACCTTATTTGTTGGGTTGTATCTTTGTTCATGAAACTGAATCCCTGTCTTCCTGATCTAAGAAGCTGGCCTGTTATGTGAACATATATTGTCAATTCTTTCTTTGCTATAACTTCTATTTTCTTAATCCTATTCCAGTGTTTTATATCCAATGTATGACAAATCTCAATAAATGTATCAAACTGTGGTTTTTTGAGAGTATACATAACATTTGTAAAGTTTTTCTCCAATTTAGAGTCATAAGCTGTGACAAGTTCACCATTGCCATATTGAAATACAACCTGTTCGATGCTGTCACTTATTTTTGTCAAGTTGGTCCAAAAACTGGAGGAATTACCCAAGTAAGCAGTGTCCCTATACATGTTCGTAGTAGAACATATTGAAATGCTGATGCTTGAGAGACTGTTCACAAAGTAGATATTTGTTGAAATCTCTCCTCCACAAATTTTTTGGAATCTTTTGACAAGAATGATTGCAACTCCAATTGTGCATGCAAATTTCAAGAGTGTAAGACATTTTGATGCACAAACTTTGCAGGTCAAGTTGCCACTAACTTTGTACATTTTGCTAAATATAAATTCAGTAGCTCCAAGAATTGACACTCCAAGGAAAAGTCCAACCCAGCCTCCAAACTCAGCAATGAAGGTAATTAAAGTGTAATGGTCCTGCATTTCAGTGTAAAGAACAGTTGACGGGATGGTTATGTAATACCCAGGAGTAAACATTTTATGCGTATGATTTGATGACTCAAAGGTATCAAGCCAGTTTACTGGATTTAACTTAGCACCCATATCAACCTGGGTACAGGGCAACAGGCATTTTTGTGCTCCAATCTTATCTAAATCCAGCACTTTATTCATTAAAGATTGTGCATTGTTAGGCTGATACAAGAGCAGAGGATCAAGATCACATTGATCTTGAAATTGAAGATTTGTTAAAGCTTCAGCACAAGAGTCATACTCAGTAACACCATCCTCACATTGGGTGCTTGGTGTTGAGATGAGTTTACTAACTCTGATGTTCAGTTCGATATTCTCTATATAGTCAATGAACTGAATTTGTACAAGTTCATTTTTCAAATCAGTCAGGAATTGTCCTTTCTTGTGCACATACAATTTTACACTTTCTATACACAAAATAATGTAAAATCTCTTAAAATAATTGGGATACTTTATAATAATCAAACAATGTTCACCTGTGTCTTTAGAAGGATTGATTCTTAGCCTTGAGAATTGTTGGAGATCTTTAGTCCAAGTATGGCATAGCATTGTATAGTTATCAACATGTGGGTACATTTTTTGTCGTAAAAAGAAATGTTCAATTAATTAAACTGCTTTAAAATTTATATCTTTCGTCCATTACAACTTTTACATCAAAAATTCAATTTAACACTATGAATTTATTCAATGATGCAAATCTAGCTGGAACATTTTAGATTTTATGAAGATACACACACAAGCAACCTCATTTAAAATAATACAAAACACTCAGTTGCTTTGGGTAAAAGTTTTTAGTAGTTTCTCTAACAGAATCAAGGATTCTTTGCATATTGTGTCAAACTTGTACAACTGTTCAGTCCTTGTCACAGCAAGCTTTCACTATTCTGTGAATTCTTTAAATATTTTTTGTCTGTTTTAAATGAAAAAGTAAATTAAGACACCCTATATGTTGAATTGTAAACCTATTTCTATTTATTTCTTATTGAACACATCTAGCCCTGATTAGTGTAGCATCTCCTTTAGATGGATTAAGAAAGTGGATTGGATGGGCTTATATGTTAAAATTGGAGGATTCTGTACCTGAAGTTTGAAGTATTACTTTCTAGCTGTGAAATCCAATTGGTACTGTTGATCAATACTCCATCAAACCGAAGTAATATATTTGAGAACCTAAATGTGGCTCCTGACTCAGCTAAAAGCTGTTCTAGTAATACAGATCTTGAATTCTCATCCAGTCCACAAGACATGTTCTAAATAGTTTTTTTGTTATTGCAAAACACAGACTTATATATTTCAAACATGTATGCTTTTATTGGTTTGATCCAAACCCCTTGTTTTTACTAGTAACATTTTTAGTAAAATCTGATATTTGACCATTGGCTTTATTTGAGATGTTAGAATAATTAAATGTTTTTTAATAAATTGCTAAACCCTTTTAGCCTTATCATAGATTTTACCTCTTTTGGCTCAATACAAGGTGAATTTCTACCTATAAAAAATAATAATAAATTGATTGATTTCATGAATTTGTAAAAATAATATTATTTGAATACATCCCTGTAGCTGCAGTACCATTGAAATATTGCTTAACATCAAATTGTTGGCACACTGATAGCTGAAGATCGGATACAGCTTCTAAAAAGAAAGAAATAGTTAGCACTCAAAACTCTTACAAAAGAATAAAAACTGTTCTTTTAACTTTCTCGCCCACATTTCCAACCATGCTGAGATACATGTTGTCTCATCACCTGATTGATGCTCCTTTCCTTGGATGAAAGTAAAAAAAAAATATGTTGAAAGAAACGCCTCTAAAGGGTTAGTTACTCCATATCTGATCAGCTTCCAGTTCCTAATGACACAAAATAAAAGTTTCTAGTTTCACTGTTGATACACATATCATTAAAGCAACATACTCTATTACTGTGCGTTTGTTGTAGCACATTTCCCCCTTGTGTCTCAGTCTTCAAACATCCTGTGTTTAAACTTCACTTCCGACATTTTTAAAGCTGTTCCAGCAGTCAACAACAACCTAATCACTTCATTCCATGCACTGTAAAAGTTAAGAAATAGAACTTTTTTTTATGGATTTTCAAATACTTTTTTGCGCATTTTTTAAAAGCTTTTGGATGCAACTTTTTGTAACTCTAAGCATCCATAATCCTTCCCTGGGAACATGTGAGTTTAAACACAAAATTTGGATACAAACAAACAAACACTCAGACAAGCAAAGTATATATATACTAGGCTTTCAGTGCACTTTGCGCCAATCTTCTATTTTAAATTAACACTTTCTCTTTCTATACAAAACACAAACAAACAAAAAATGGCAGATTTTATAAAAAAAAAATCATGGATTTTCAAAATTTAATGAAAATCGAATTTTGTTGGAGGGTAATTTTGAAAATTTTGATAATTCATAATCCTTCTTTGGGTTCATGTGAGGTTCCACACAAAATTTGGGCCCAATTGGCTCAGTCATTTGACGTTTATTGGATGCAAACAAACAAACAAACACCGGACAAGCAAAGTAAATAATATAGATATATACAGTTGATTCTTCCTCCAATGAACTCCACAACTGTGCCCTAGCAACAAAAAGCTGGCTTACAAATGATTTCTCACCTGTCTCCAAATAACTCAGTGAAACCTGTTCCCAATGGATTAAAACTTCAATTCAAATACTCTTCTCAATCAATACTAATAGTATTTAAAATATCATTCGATTTTTCTTTTTCCTTTTTTCCCAAATAGTGGTACAACTGCCAAATTTTTGTTGGAAAAAGACAACAACTCTCAAGCCAAATTTGTGGGCCTTCATCAAAGTGCTAAAATGAAGGGGGCTATCGGGGGAGTTCCAAGTGATGTGCAACCAACATTGAGCCAAAACCTTTAAAAAATGTTTCAGCTCAACCTGTAGGCTAAGAAGCGAGGATGAGGGACGTGGACCATATGGACCATACAAATTCTAAGCTGAGCCATCCCAACAAGACATCATGTCACACCATAGAGGAAATCGATCTAACCAATCAAGACAGTGCCACCAAGACCCTGGGAACCAGGCAAAAGTCCTAGAAACCATGGGTCAGCTTGAGCCTACCATGAGTAACGAATCTTTTACTACACAGGATAAATTTAGGAAAATCTACATGGTTTGTATCTATTGGTCTTTGAACAAACTGATTGTTTCAAGATTGAGCAATCACAGCCAAACCAACACCAAAAATGAAATCCATAATCAAGGACATTTTTGAGGATCATCTATTACAATTAAGGCCTTAAACTCAATTAACAGAACTTTTCCTGTTGCAATTTGAGCCGACTCAAACAGTGTACATTTAGCTTTCAGAGAAGCAACAACTAGGTCATACTAGGCACATCTGAAAGTATTCAGAGATACAGGGTGAGGGAGAGAAAACTAGAGAAACTTTACAGTGGTGTATATGGGGGTTACACCCCTGCATGGCACACAAATGGAGAAAAATAAATGAAACTATATGAAACCTAGCTAGATCCAGATTTTGCTACTGGCAGCTCTTTAAATCTACTCCTTTACAATAAGCCTGGTTAGCTGTTGTAAAGTATCCAAACCCGTAGGAAAGAGGTTAATTCTTTTGATTGAATCTGGTTCTATGTATAAGCATTAAGTAGTCAGTTCAATGTACAAGTATCTGTCAGAGATAAATCTTACAAGAATCAAGAATTCTTTTGTAAAAAATATCCACTCCTTGCATAATGAAAATAGCATGTCAAAGGAAATTGCCAAAAGAGAGCTGCAGCTCTGAGAAATTTGTGGAATACTAGGGAGAAACAAAAGCAGAAATATGTGTCAAAGTGCATATATACTTTGTCTACAAGGGATTAGAATGTGTAGATCTACAAAAGAGGAACAGTAAACAGATGTATGATCAGAAAAAAAGAAGATACAACAACCAGAGAATAAATTCACTGCTCTTTAAACAAAATTTGTTGAAACTAAAATTCAAAAACAGATGTTAAAAAATAGCTGACTTAAAAGAAAAAAAAATGAAATAAAAAAATTCAGCTGTCAGCATGAAAAGAAAAACCGAGAAGGTTATACAAAGTCAGAGCAATTTTCAACAAAGCAAATCCTTATCTCTCCAGTCTAAGATAACCATACACTGCCCATTAACACCTGAAATGATACCTCTGCTTTATGGGATTTCGTCAAATATCTCAACCCTAATGATCTTCCCAATCAAAGCAAAAATAAGCAGCCCTGCAAATCGGAACATCCTGCTGTTAAATGCACTTTTGTAAACCTGAAGAATCAATATGTGAGAATCAAGAGTAGCTGTGTTGAGATCAACACAAACGGTTTCACAACAATTTGTTCTATGCTAAGCATAGAAACCCCAAAAACACCTACTACAGCAAACCGTTTTAACATCCTGTTATGTTTGGAATGATAAAAAAGGAACCACCTGAATTTAATGAATATTTTTTAATCCAAAGAAAATATGGGGACTCCAATGAAAATATGGGGGTCTCCAACAAGAATCTGGGGGTCTCCATTGAAATTATGGGGGTCTCCAACAAGATTCCGGGGGTTTCTAACAAGACATCCTTGGGGGTCTGCAATGAAAGTGGGTCTCCAATAGTGCTCCAATGATGATGATTTCTTCTTAGACTCAGCATAACCTAGTTTTCAAGTACCCCAGCAGGGATTGTGTTAATTTATAGCGCCTCATCCCCTTCCCCTTAGCAATTTCTTTTCAAGTTATTTACACTGTAATGGAATGTTTTTATGCCAAAAAAAAAAACATTTCAAAGAATTTGAGTCTTTACACGAACTCTGGCTGTCTATTTTTTTGCGACCCCATGTCAAAGACCTTATATATTTCAAACTAAAAATTGTGTTTGTTGTCATAAAACGATGGTGTATTTTTCGACACGCAAATCCGCTATACTCCACTTCTGACCTACGCCAAATCCGCTATACTACACATCCAATTTACTAGCACATGGTTTTACAGCTGCTATATGGACTTGTGGCCGCAGCGGCCGGCCCCCTACCCTGTCATAGCCTCAGCGCTTGGCACCCTAGCCTGTTCTAGACTTAGCGCTTGGCCCAGAAATTGTCTTAACCTAACCTAACCATCAAATAATAAAAAAATAAACAGCTGGCATAGGTCCGATATTGCAGTAGGTCGGAAAGTTAGTAGGTCAGAGGTTCAGTAGGGGGGGGATGTTGCGTATAGACGATGTAACATTACCAATAAAACAAGTATGTATTATCAATTCACACATATACATTTCTCTGTAATAGGTGTATTCATAAAAACAAAGCCAGTTTTTTTTTGAAGCGGAAAACTTTCAGTTTTTTGTTATGAAACGGAAAACGATTAGATTTTTGTTTTAAAACAAACGATTTCTTTAATTTTTCGTTTTAAACTTGAAATTCTTTTAGGTTTTTCAAAATGGTTGTTTCCAATCGTTTTCCTTTCTGAAAATTATTAAACAATCATTTTGAAAAAAATTTGTTTTGAAAATTTCAAAACGATCGTTTTGAAAAAAAATTTGTTTTGTGTTGAAAGCAAAACGATCCCCAAAATAGACAATCAAAACAGAAAACGTTTGTTTTAAAAAATTTCCAAAACTATGTCTATCCCTAGTTAAAATATGTAAGATTTGGTTCAGGTGTTTAGAGAATTGAGTGGGTCATGGTATGTTTTACTGAGAATAATTTCCCCCAAAATTAAACTTAAAAATTTTTAATTTAGGGCACAAGAATGTATAGTAATTGTCATTTTTTGTGGTGCTTTATTTTATCAGTTATCCCTAACATGTTGGAGGAGATTCCCAATAAGGAAATTTACAATTGATCAATTTAAATCTGGTCGACCTTACATTTGTAATTTTACATCTCGTCACTCGACCTTACATTGTAAATTTTCATATCGTCAAAAATACTTAATTTTTTGTTCAACATTCAACTTTCATGTAAAAAAAGTTTGTCTTTTTTGTCTAAATTTCATTCAGTTACATCATATACATAAATTGATCAAATTCAAATTGACCAATTGTAAATTGACAAAATATAAATTGGCGAGATGTCAGGGTTTCCAGTGTAAAAATGTGAAAATTTTCTTTCACATTTTAAAAACTTTTTCGCGAAAACTAATTTAGCAAAAAAAAGCTAAGACGATGTCCGTCCACTTAAGTTCACCCAAATCCAGCCAGCCATTTATTCTCAACAAATCTATGCCTCATGCTAAATTTTTCCTGCCTGCAGTTTTTACCAGCCAAATTTTCCCATATGTTTGGGTCAATTAATTTCTAGCATTTTTTCATGCTACTTTCCCAATTTCGCAAACTGTTTTTCGCAGAATTTGCGCATTTTTCCCACGAAATATTGTCTTTTTCGGATTTTTTTGTATTTTTTTTTTTAACAATTTATTTCTAAGTTAATTTTTTAACATAATTTAAAAAAAGAGCAGCACATTATTTGTCTCAGACTGTCGCATCTTCTTTTTATCTGATCATACATCTGTTTTCTGTTCCTCTTTTGTAGATCTACACATTCTAATCCCTTGTAAACAAAGTATATATGCACTTTGACACATATTTCTGCTTTTGTTTCTCAGTATTCTGCATATTTTCCAGAGCTGCAGCTCTCTTTTTGGCAATTTTCTTTGACATACTATTCTTTAATTTGATATCTTGGCGCCAGAAATATCAAATTAAGAATAATAGAAAGTTACTGTTTGTGAGTAGTTATGTTTTCTGATTCAGGGTCTGACTCTATAGATGTTGAAGACTAGGTTCAAACACAATTTCCTCAATATTCCTCTACAGCAATCTTTTCCTTGCAGCCAGCAGAGTATAAACAGGTATTATAGTACATGGAGCATAACCTATCAGGATTCTACTTTCTCTATTTCAATTTTCCTTGTTTCTGGCAAGAGGGAAGGAGAAGAGAGAGAGAGAGAGAGAAAGAGAAAGTCCTCCTTCTCTGCACTATTATTTCCTTTTTTTTGGTGTACTGAACCTGACAGTTCTGAGCTCCCTTGATGCTTACACATGGAACCATATTCACAAAAGAATTAACATCTTTCTGGCGAGTTTGGATACTAAATAACAGCTCACCAGGCAGTATATTTAAAGCTGCTAGTAGCAAAATCTGGATCCAGCTAGGTAAAATACCTCCATTCTCCATGTTAATACAGCGTTAAAAGATTAATGCAGGCCTTCAATATTTCTTGTAGTTCTGTTTATTTCTTTTCCATTTGTGTGCAGGGGTGTATATGGGGGATATACACCCCTGGGTGTATATGGGGTATATACATTCATGGCTAAAGTTTCTCAAGTTTGCCATTTTCTCTCTCTCACCCTGTATCTCTGAGTACTTTTAGAAGCACCAAGCCATACCCAGTTGTTACTTCTCTGAAAGCTAGATGCACACTGATTAAATCAAAATTTCGCGAAAAAAGCTAAATTTTCGCATTTTTTCAGTGTTGGGTAATTTCTTAGAAAGACATTTTATAAATTGAACATTTTTTTATTGAACACATTTCATGGATAGGACATTTCATAGACAATACATTTCAAAGACAAGACATTTCATAGATAAACATTTCATAGACAGGACAATTTATATATTGGACATTTCATAAAAGACATTTCATAGACAGGACATTTCATAGCTGGGACATTTCAATTTTGCTTTAAACTGATGACATATTCTATTTTTGATTTCTTGTTTGTCAAAAATTGATTTTGTGTCTTTGAAATTACCTATCCATGAAAAATCTACTCTGTCTTTGAAAAATCTACGCTGTCTATGTAAAATTTACTCTGTTAATGAAAAATCTGCGCTGTCTATGAAATGTCCTGTTTATGAAATGTTCTATCTTTGAAATGTCCTATCTATGATTTTGTTATCTATGAAATGTCCTATTTATGAAATGTTCTATCTATGAAATGTCCTATTTATGAAATGTTCTATCTTTGAAATGTCCTTTGTATGATTTGGTTACCTATAAAATGTCTTATCTCTATGAAATATAAACAGATTTTCTTACTTACTCTGCAAAGCAATTTCCTGAACTTGAGTTGACATCGGGCTTCTTATAAATTTAATTGCAGTATTGTATCCCTGCCTCAGTGTTATACCAACACATATCCCAGTAAATATAACCTTCAGTAAATACCACCTTGATTGAAAAATATTGAGAAATTTTATCGTCAATTATTTGTTAACGTATGAAAAACATTCAATTCTATTAAACAGCAATGCAAAGTATTCAAATTGATTTAATTTTGTTGTAAGAAATACTTAATTTTTTTAAAGTAGTTAAACTAAGGAATATTTCGAGATACTTAAAAGATTTAGCACGCTTTATTCTACTTTAGTTAGTATTCTCAAGACTGCTTGCGTAATGCATGTATTGAGAAATTTCAACCCCAGTTTTTTTGGAGTAAAACTGTCCCATAGTTCCTGTCAGCAAGGATCAAATTGTCTTTTCTTAAGAAAACATGTTGAAAGACGTTTTTGAAATTACTGAAACTTACTTGAGCATGGGACCATGGTGAGTTTTAAAATTATGGGGGCCAGTTGAAAATGTCATTTTTACAAATATTCATTTGGACTAAAATATTAACTCTGGGTTGTTAGCTGATTGAGCATTAAATAAATGAACAGAATTTTATTTCTAATGTGTGCTCCAATTTCAAGAACACTTGAAAACCTCCTGGATTTTTCTTTTTGCTTATATTGTTGGATTGCAAATTTTGGGCCAGATTGGTTTTTATGTTTAAATAATCATTTAATACAAACAAACGGAAACACCAAAAAACAATCTTAATACATGTTAGAGTGGATGAAAAAGGTTGGCGGGTTAAATTTGGGCCTCAACTTTTCGATGACTATTGGCTCATGAAAATTTAAACATACTTTTCTTCCTTGTTTACTAAATGATATTTATAAAAAGTGAATTTGTACATATTAAAAAAGACGTTTCGCACAGCAACCTGGATTAAAAAAAATACTGTTCTTCTAAAAATTAAAATATTGCATAACAAAGATGGAGAGAGGTGGGCCTTAGTAATCATTGTTTACAATTTTTTTTTGTATATGTACATTGTGACACAAAAAAAGATTTTTTAGGCATGGTAACACTCACCATGTTCAATTTTCAAAATATATAGTACCTTTCCAATCCATTCATATCTATTAGAGGTACGTAGCAGAAAAATTAAAGAAGTAAGAGCAGTTTAAAATCTGACAATTTTGCTTGGTTGAGTTTATGAATTCAAATTTTATCGTATTATTGAATTTCATTAGGGTTTGACAAAATGTTCTTGAAAAAGGGCAAGAACTTTTCTTGCTTTTGAGTACCACAAAGAGAACTTTTTTGTAATTGTAATTTAATCATGGCAAGTTCTACATTGTCTGGAAGAACGCTTTTTTGGGGAGCACCCTGTATACAAAAAAATCAGTTCTATATATGTTAAAAATTTAATATGATTAAACTAATACATCTCCTAATAAATATTGTTTTGAAATATTTAGACAAAATTGCCTTTCAGGGATGTCATTTATTTATTTGTCATGATACTACAGTCTCTGGGATAGAAAGGCCCAAAATTATTTGGTCTAAAAGGTTTTCAATAGAACATGTTAACTTGAAATATTTACCGATATAAAGGTATAATAAAATCTAGATGGAATTCCTTGAAAATATTAGTCTTTCTTTTCTCCATATTTAGCTTAACTATGTTGTCCATGTTGAGTCTTTGATAGACTAATTGGAAAATTGTGCACGATTGTCTGCATTACATAAAAAGGGTGTTTATAAAAAGTGTGTTTTTATAATATATTTTTATCAAGTAAATTGTGAACTGACAAGAATGATAAAAATCAATAAATTGATATAAAACTTCTAAAAAAATTAATTCAATTAATATTCACACTTTTTATTTTTAATCACACCAAAGGTGGTGTCCAATTATTGAAAAAAACTTCATAGTTAATAAAATTGGAAAATGGAAATAGATTATCTGTTCCCAATATAATCATGATCAAGTAATGAGGACTAAATTTTCAATAAACCCAATAATAAACTATTGTATAATATGGACTATATAGATGTTTACACATTGGTAAAACCTCCAAAACTTATGTTTGATTAATTTATTCTGAATCAAAGCATTAATTTATTCCAAATTTTTTTTGGTTTATGGCTCCAATCTTTAGTGGGATCATTTCTTAAACTGTTCATTAATAATAAAAAAAGGGAAAAAAAGGTTAAAAGTCTACTAAACTTACAGAAAATGCAAAATTTGATGTTTTTATATTGGTTTGAAGTTTTACAATGTCATCTTTTTTCCTGCTACTTTTACAATATAATCATTAGCGCCATCAATAAAATTACGACCGCTAACAACTATATTGATAATTAAACATTTAAATGTTTTCAGATTTCAGAGTGATTAAAATTGTTGGTATTGAATTCTGGGGGGAAAAAAAACTATTTTTACCGTTCAAGTTTGGTCGACATTTAAAAAATTGTTTGATATAAGGGGAAAAAACTAGTTTCTTGATAGTCTGATAAATTTTTAATAGATTTTCTCAGTGTTTCAAGACGGATATTTCTTGATCTTGATTTATTTTCACGATTTTTTTGTCTTGCAGTTTTATTTTAAGGCCACATGGATTCAATCTACTGATAAAAGTTGCCTAATTTTTAAAACTTTGAAGTGTAGCATCGCCTTGGGCTTTTATTTTACCGCTCTAACTTACTTTTGCTATGGTAGATCTAAACATTTTATTGTCAGCCGGTTTTAGCTCCAGTTTTTTATACGTAATTATTTTGTCTGAGTCATTAGATCTACAAAAAGCAAAAATCTAAATGAGTTTTAAAATTATGAAGAAAAATGATTTCTCCAAAATTATTATCAAAAAAAATTATTTTATCAAAGAAACTGGTGCAATACGGATTTCGAGCACTTTAATCAAAATGTGCTCCAAAATTTAACTATCTATAGAGGACGTGAGTCAGACTCTAATAAAAACGCATAAAGTACTTCCAGAATATATATTTTTATAACTTATTACTAGAGGGTTCAGAACATGAGTCTATATCAATATCACACGTGTTAGACTGTCCGTCAGTACAATGCCCCGTATCCGTTCTATCTCATTCCGTTGAATCTTGTGGAACTTCTTTAAGGCGGCCAGGCATCGTCTTCCACATTACCCCCCCCCCCCCCCAGCGGAGAGGCCGGAGGCTGGAGGCCAAGGCTAGTGATAAAAAACTCATTTAATGATGAAGCACTCTGGATTAAAACCTTTGGTTTTACTCATTGAGATTAAATGTCACTTTCTTCCTCTTTGGCGGAGTAACGGCGGAGGATTCTATAACAACTTTCCGAGGCCGTCCTCTACTCTAGGGGGATTGGAGGAACTGGAGGCGGTTGGCGTGGGGGGGTCTACCTCGGTGTGGAGGTGCTTCTGGAGCTTCATAATCTGCCGTGAAAGCTGGTTTGAGGCGTTGAACTGAAACCACTTCTACTCTCTTGCCAACTTGGAGCTGAAAGGTTTTAAGGGAGCGGGATAAAACCTTGTGAGGACCTTCGTAGAGTGGAGCTAGAGGAGCAACATGTCCATGCAGAAATATTATGACGAGGCAGAACAGGTTGAAAACCAGACATCGAATTTTTAAGGTTTTCATAGAACAGATCGGTTGGGGGATCTTGTGCTTGAAATTGAGTAGGGAGCAGAAGAGAACCATCCTGAACTGGAACAGTGGCAAGGCGAGGGTGGGGGAAACCTTTAGGCGGAGTACATCAGGGCAGGACAGTTGTTCTTTAGCTAATTCTGAAAAATTAATCACTGAAGAAGTTGGAAAAGGTGATGGAGTTGTTGAAACTGACACCTCAGACACCTCCGACACGTCAGACCCCCTAACACCAGGGGAAGGAGGCAGCTGTGGAGCAGGGGGAGATTTTGGAGGAGGACGGGAGAATGTCAGCCACTACATTTGCAGCTTCAGGAGTAGCCGAGGTATAGCTTGTTAGCTCTAGGAGTAGCTAAGGTTTAGCTTATTAGCTACAGGAGTAGCTCATCAGCTCCAGGAGTAGCTGAGGTTTAGCTTATTAGCTCCAGAGTAGCTGAGGTTTAAGTTATTAGCTCCAGGAGTAGCTGAGGTTTAGCTTATTAGCTCCAGGAGTAGCTGAGGTATAGCTTATTAGCACCAGGAGTAGCCGAGGTTTAGCTTATTAGCTCCAGGAGTAGCTGAGGTATAGCTTATTAGCTCCAGGAGTAGCAAAGATTTAGCTTATTAGCTCCAGGAGTAGCTGTGTAGCTGATTAGCTCCGGTAGTATCTGTATAGCTGATCAGCTCTGGGAGTAGCTGTGTAGCTCATTAGCTCCGGGAGTAGCAGTGTAGCTGATAAGCTCCGGGAGTAGCAGTGTAGCTGATTAGCTCCGGGAGTAGCAGTGTAGCTGATTAGCTCCGGGAGTAGCTGTATAGCTTATTAGCTCCAGGAGTAGCTGTGTAGCTGATTAGCTCCTGGAGTAGCAGTGTAGCTGATTAGCTCTGGGAGTAGCAGTGTAGCTGATTATTTCCGGGAGTAGCAGTGTAGCTGATTAGCTCCAGGAGTAGCTCCCAGGTAGAATCTAAGAGTCTGAAACCTAGTCTTAGACGCCGGGCGGACCTCCTCAGACCCTCTGTTTTTGGAAAAAAATATCAAATTTCACCAAATATATGTAATATGAGAAAAAACCATTAAAATATTTGAGCATTCCTCTCCCCATCCCTTTCTTCAAGCACCCCTCCATATTTTTTTTATGTATGGAATAAATCTTCAGTTGTTTAATTCTATAAGCTTAGAATATCAATTTTTGACAATTTGCCTAAAAGTTACATTTTGCGTAAAACTTCCGGTTTTGCGCAAATTGCGCAAAACTCATCAAAAATAGCGCAAATTTTGCTCAAAAGATTTAGCCATTTCGTGGAAACCCTAAAATAAATTCCGCGAATTTTGAATCGTTTTCTTATTTTAGAATTATATTCTTTTTACATCGGAATTGAGTGCAAATACATAAAATACAGATTCAAATTCCGATAATGACAGAATATTCTTGCCTAAATTAAGAAAATGTTTTCCTGGATGAAAAGTAATCATATTCTGAAATTAAGGAAATACATAAGAAGAAGAAAAAGGGTTTGAATTTCTAATATGTAATTGGATAGTTTTATCAGAGAACCCTTACTAATTCATCGGAGATTCCTTACAACATCATCAGAGACCCTTTTTCTACCTTATCGGAGACCCCCAATGGAGACCAATACTACCTCATCAGAGACTTCTTCCTACCTTATCAGAGAACCCTTCCTATTTAAACAAAATCCTACTAATTCCTTATCAGAGACCACTTTATATTTCATTGGAGACCCCTTACTATTTCATTGGAGACCCATTACTATTTCAGAGGAGATCTCTTATTTCCTTATCAGAGACCCCTTACTATTTCATAGCAGACCCCTTCTTACCTCATTATAGACCCCTTCCTATTTTTACTTAATGGAGACCCCATATTATCTCATTAGAGACCTCTCGCATTCTCATCTGAGATTCATTTGCAAAGTTTAATAAAAGTAAACTTTAAAATAAAACAGTTTCAAAATCTTGGAAGGATTATTAAATTCTTTTAATTAATTAACAACAATAATACTGTAATGATGAGGGTGCATACCGATTCACAACGGAACCCTTTATATCTTTATATGAACAACATTGTAGAAGATATTGTCGTTTTTCTAGAAAGTGAATAATTCTCACAATCTTTTCCATGTTTTTCTCAAGGGAGAAATTTGTATGTTCTTTTGACAGAGGAAAAAGAGACCTTTGAAATAACGTCTTCAAAGAGCAAAGACACATAACAAAATTCCGTACAGTCGTCTCTGAAGTCTAATCAATTGTTGGTACCCCTGTATAAGTTACAGTGGTACTCACGAAGGCTGAGACTTTTTTAACAAATCAATAAAAATGAAATAAGCCATGAATAGATCATTGAGACTTAGTTCAGTCTTAGGATTGACATATTTAAAGAGTTTTAAGTCGTCTTTACAGTTTCATCCTTTGTGGGTCCCCCTGTTTATCTCAGAAGCTGACAGAAGTTGTATTATGAAAGTTTGCTACTATACTAAAACTCTCCATTATAGCAAAATTAAATTCTTTTAACCTTCTTTCTTTTCTTGCAACTTAAATCCGCAAAACACTTTGAAAGGAACCTAATAAAGAATTCTCAGTTTTTAGCTAGAAAAAGGTCATATTATCCTTGACAAAAATAAGAATAAATGGGTAACGTTGTGAATTGGACAAGTAACTTTAAAAAAGGGGATAATTTTGCCTTTACAACCCTTTAAATATGAGAATTATGTTTAAAGATATTAAATATTTCAGAAGTGTCTGTGATGTAAACTGCATGTGGTAAATCTATCTGAATGTTTTTGGATTCAGAAACAATGGCGTCTAGGAAAAATCTGAATTTGTTTCTGTTTACAGTGACAATTGTACTTAGCATATCTTCACTATTCATCTATGTGACATCAGTTCCTTCTAGAACAGTAACTGTTCTCCCCTGGGGAAACTGGAGTACAAGTTCCCCCTGGGCTGGGGATAGAGAATGTGGCGAGTTTGTGACTAGAATAGTTAAACCAGGTAGAGATGGTGCATTCTGCCTTCTTTTAATTAGTTTGCTCATCCTTTGCCAACCACCCATTCCGTTTTTTTAGGAATTCAGTAAAAATTTGAATTCGGTTGTTCTTGGAATTATTGTTTAATTTTCCACCTATTTCTTTCATTCAATGAGATTAAAAAATGAGAGTTAGTTGTATCTCCTTGAACGATCCAATTTCTTCATTCGTCATTTGTTAAGTTTTTCTGAACCACACCATCATTAACAAAAAAAGATCGTTCGTTCGCAAAACAATGCCCATTTCTAAAATCAGGAACTATCCCTAGTAGAGCACTTGCCTCCTTCCCTGGATCAGGGAATACTTGGATTAGATATCTTATTGAGGGCGCCTCAGGGATCTATACTGGGTCCATATTTAATGATAAATCAATAGCAAGTGCAGGACACAATGGAGAAATGAGGAATTTCAGGGATGGTTCAACAATCCTTCAAAAGACCCATCACAGAGCTTTATATGATGTGCCAGCTTATATGAAATATTCCCTGCAATGGAGAACTAACCATATTAAGATGTTTGAGGGTCGTGCAGTTGTGGTTGTTCGTAACCCTTTCAAAGCTATTCTTTCCTACTGGAATTATATCAGTACAAGAAGCCACACCGCGTCTGCCAACAACAACAGCTTGTTGTCACCAAAATTCCGGGATTTTGGTTTTGTTGGAATCAACCGCTGGTATGAAGTCATCTCTGATTGGCTTGACTACGGAACAGATGTTTATTTTGTTTTCTATGAAGATCTCCAAGAGAATCCTGTAAACGAAATAAAATCCCTTTTTGACCATCTGGGAATGGAACTAGACCCGAACAGACTAGAGTGTGTACAGAAGCATCTGACTGGAAGCTTTGAGAGAAAGAAGCACATTGATGAGAATCCGTTTTCTTTAGATCATCAAGCTTTGTTCAGACTTGTTATTGATCTTGCCAGCAAAAGGATAGAGGAAAAAACTGGAAAATCCCTTCCAGTTCATAAATATACCTATTATAAGAAGGATACCACAAATGTACCTTAATAAAAAAAATATATTTTCTTTTTGTAAAATTAACGTATTTTTAACAATCTGAAATTTATAAACAATTTGATCAAGCATTGATCTCCATCATCTGCAAATCTGCAGATTAATTTAATTTCTTTTTGATATCCAGTGATGGGTTTACCCTTGACAGATAACTTTGATTAAGGGATCAAGCATTAATCTTCAAATTTAAAGTGCCCAAATTGGATATCAAGATAAGCATTTAAGATTAACAATATCCACACAAAATTTCCGATCTTTAAAATTGATTAAGAAATAAAAAATTTTGACTTGGTGAAAAATTCCTAATTTTCTAAATCTCTGTAGCAATAGCAAACCATGTAAATTCAAATTTTGGGATTCATTTTAATGATCTAAAAACCCTTCCTTCAAAAACCCGAGAAATGAAAATGTTGAAATAGATTCTTTTATTATTTTCTAAACTTACAATTTGGGTAACAAAGGGTAAAAAATATACATTAAACTTCGTCCTTGTAATCCGGAACTTCTTTTCCTGAATAAGACAAATATATTATTAATTGTAATCCTTTTATAAGATGATTTTTAGGTTTTACCGTTTAAAGGAATTTAGATATCTATTGTCCAATATCGCTAACTTAATTAATATTTTCTTTGTTGTACTTTTATTTGGGAAATAAACGTTTATGAATTTGTTTATGATGTTTTTCATGAATTTTGGTTTTCTACAATATTATATACAGCCAGAACTTGAACTCTTGTGTTGGACAACCTCTATCCCGTTCGCCTAATATCGATATCCACTGTTGACACTTTTTCTGGGTTCCTACTAATGAGAGTTAATTGGTTTGGTAAAATTTTGGGAGGAAGAAAACAGAAGGGAGGAATGATGTAGATGAAGTTGATATGGATGAAGGTGGGGGGTGGTAGCTGTTGTATCCAATCTATCTATAACCATCCATCTTAAACATTCTCTCTCCTCTCTGTTATCTGCCAATCTGGTTGTTTAATGAGCACTATGATTCCGATGATTTATTGTTTATAATCCACGATCACATAGGTAGAACAAACTCGCTTAAAGTAAGCCAATTGCGAGAGGCTTAGTGGGATTTCTTAGCAACACTACATGGTGTGTGTTCTTTTTACCGGTCAGGCTTGTACTACTTAAAATCCTGGTTCAATTTCAGGGTAAAAATAGCAAATAACAATTTACAAGATAAACAAACATAAATATAGATTGAATGATAAATTGATAAATTAATACATCATTAAATTGATAATTCTTGTTTTGGGATATAACCACCCCTAAACCAAGCTAACCATTTAAAACCACGCAGGTAGAGAAAAGATAGAAATCCAAGCACTAGATACAACTGGTGTATATAAAGGTTTTCTAAAAAGGCATTCATGAAACAATAATACATCATTAAATCATAATATTTTGTTTGCTAGTTGTCATTTGTCATGTAAAAAAGTCGGCAATAATATAAAACGTTTCTTTCTGATTTTATAAGTAAAATCCCAAACTGCAAGGATCCCAAATGAATGTTAACCAATGTTGGGATTGGAAGGATTGGGATTAGAATGAGGACTAGGAAGTTGGAATAGGTTGGAAATGGAATCAATTGGGAATAGATAAAATAGGTTGGGAATTGGGATGGATACCAACTAAAGAGGAAGTTGGGATTGGGATTCAATGAATGTGAGGATGATAAAAGGGTTGGTAAATCGGGAGTTGGAGTAATTGGGAAGATTGAGTAATTAATAGATGTTCTACGGGGACCACAGTATTGGAAAGAGAATCAGCAAGATATAGAAGTTCAGAACAGAGGTACAGATATAATAAAATACGTGTGTAAAGACTATGGAGAATATTTAGTTTAGTGGATAAAAATGTATAATAAAATATGTGTATAAAAACTATGGAGAATATGTAGTTTAGTGGGTACAAATGTTAAAAAGGGGTGAAGACGACATTTTGGAAGGAATTAGCGGATTACTGCTAAGTTGGGATAAGAGAGAGAAAAGAGTATAAAAATCATCATTAGAATAATTCAATACTCTGAAACAATAAAGCCGAACAAATTAAGAAAATTAGGAATTTATTTGAGAGATTAATTTTGTAAAGATTTGGTCAGTTTTCTTCTGAGAAAAAAGATAAACATTAAGCAGAAATGGACAAAATTAATCCTCTCTTTTATTGAAGGACTTTTCATCAGAGAATTCCAAGTTGTAAATATCTTAAGATTAACCATCGATCTCCATATTACTCAGACCTACAGATTAATCTCATTTCTCTTCAATGTCCTGTGGAGGTCACGCCCCCCTGCAGGGAAAACTTTAATTGAGGAAGTAATTTTCCTCAAATTTTAATCTACAAAGAAGTTCCAACCTTAGAACGCTATACAGCTTCCGCATGATTTTAGCATTCTGGCTAGACTCTTCAACAGAAAGAAACCAATGGAGTTTGGAACATTTATCCAATTTGTAAAATGGAAATATTTTTATATTGCATTTTAGACTATATCAAATGACGACTAGATCAAAGGACGACAAGATTGAATGAGAACAAGATCAAAGAGAGACTAGATCAAATGATGACTAAATCCAGTATAAACTGGATTAGCCAGTGTTTATTACCAGTCAGCACTGCTTTGTGATCCCAATCCACTCAAAGAGGTCCCCCACTATCACCCTAAAAAGTAGGAGACTTTGGGATCATATACAAAAATATTTAATTAATAAAAGTAACCGTATTTATTATACACTGAGAAATATAACCTTAATTAGTAAACACTGAGAACTAACCTCTACTTCTCTCCTAGTATCTAGTATACCCTGAGAACTAACCTCTACTTCTCTCCTAGTACCTAGTATCCCCTGAGAACTAACATCTACTTCTCTCCTAGTAATTAGTATACCCTGATAACTAACCTCTACTTCTCTACTAGTATTTAGTATACCCTTAGGGTTTCCAGTCGTAATTTCGTTACGCGTAATTACGAGTAACGAAACGTAACACTTTCTTTCACTTACGCAGGAGCATTACGCGTAATTACGCATATATTACGTTTACGAAAGAAAGTCTAGTTTCGCGTAATTAAGGCGTAATTACGCGAAATTATGTATTACGTAACAATTCCGTAATAAATAAAGTACATATTAATTCTCNATATTTTATAATATTTTTAAATTAATTTGTTTATTTCTCTTGTCGCTTGCGCAACTATCTAAGAATGCCGCACACCACTCACAATTTTCGAAATCCGTTGAAAACGTTTTCTAAAAAATAAAATATTATAAAAAATAAACTATATACATATGTGGCGAAAGATAATCGATGACTATAGGTTGTGATATCTAAATAATTTGTTTAAAATCAAATTAGTTTTTTAAGGTATAGTTCATATGTTGCAATTTTCTCAATTTGTATGGCCGCTAAGTTATTGGGTGTGAGAAGTCTTTAACAATTTTCTCCTTATAGACGCAACAGATAGAAGTAAGATTAGTAGCGATCAAAAGCGCTTTTTTATCGCATTAAGCCTGTACCCTCCTTTCATTTTTCGCGAACACTCCCTTTAAATCACAACAAAAATTTTCAAATGTTTCATATCTCCGTCAAGTTTGAAGATACTAAGAAGACAGACCACATTTTTAAAAGCTCATTAGACGTGAAGTCTTTAATTTGACAACTATCAGAAATAGAAGACAACTTTTAAGTCGTCTCATAATTCCCTTGTGTTAATGGGACACCCCTGTATTATCCGGAAATTGTTTACTGCTTTGACTATAATGTATATTAGAGGTAGATGTATAATACATGTCTTATGACTTATGACTGACAAAGCAAGAATAAAACTTGGAGAAAAATGGAGAATACATCATGATATTTTTCCCTGAACGACTGGGGTTTTCTTTTTACAACATCACAGAGAAAATATATTTCTTTCAAGGGACTGTTGGCATAATTTCTAGTGTCTGTCTAAAAATTGATAACTTTGAATTGTTGTTTGTCTATGAAAGTGACTTGTAGATTTTTGCAGTCAAAACAAGAAAAAATTTGGCAAAATGGACAACTGCTATTTTTTTCATTGTTTCTCAAAAATAGTAAAGGGTACAGTGACTATGGGCTTAATTTAGGCCTAAGGGGTCACTTGAAATTAATTTCAAAATTCCTTTAACAGGCAGAAACAAAATAATTATTAGTCTCACAATCAAAGCATGTTGTGTTATAAAAAAGAAACAAAAAAGGAAAAAAACTTGAATGTATGAGCATACTTTTATATATTTGTTTCTACAAAGGTTAGAGGTTTCAAACGGATTCAGAACAAACGCCTTTAAATATAACTTTTTATATGCAAAATTTAATTCATTAAAAATATGTTTTAGAACAAATTTACTTCATTTTAAGATTGATTTATAGATTGAAAAAATAAATTTAATAAAAAATTAAATTGATTGTTCACATATTTGGAAAATGCTGGAGGTGCCAATTATTGAACACAGGGTTCTCAAGTTAAATAGATATTTAAGAATGCAAAAAAAAAACGAAAAACCGAAAACAATACAATAAAATGTTCATTTTACAATGAATCCAAAATATTTTTCAGACACACACAATTGTAATTCTTCAAAAAAAAATGTAAACATTTTTGATAACATCTTAAGGTTAATCGTTTTAAAAAGATCTTTTTCAAATTGCTAAAACTGTCATAAACTTTTTTTTGGGATAATTCGTGACTCAAAATTTGGCGGTTGCACTATTCACCCTCTGTTTATTGATTGGCACCCTACCAACGTACTCAAATATATTTTAATCCAAAAAAAGTATATTTTAATGTACCAAGGTATTAAGAAAACGGGTAGGATAACTTATACCTTTTATATATTTCCAACGGCAAATAAAATTTTACTACTCCTCCATTTTTAAATGGCATTATTTCGTGAAACAAAAACTCAAGCTTCTATTTAATCCAAAAAACTGGATTTTTTTTTCCAGCCTTTGGTGAAGTATTTGTATTTTGTACAGTGGGTCCCATAAAAGTGT